CAATGCAGCAGCAGCATCATGCACGTTCCTCTTTTGGAGGTCTTTGATGACGTGCCGAACGGTGTGATGCTGGCGCTGATGGTGGACCGCGCCCCGCCGGCGTCACTCGCCACCGTCCCGGTGCATCTATTCGAGGCAACCACCTCGCGCGACGGCGTCCGCCACACGGCTGAGGAGGAACAACGGGGGCGGGAGGCCATTCAACGGCACTGCAGTCATAATTATAGCCCCGAAATATCGCCCTGCACCGCTGCGCACGGCAGCCGGATTTTTTGCCACAACGAAGGCGCACCGCATACGACGGTGTGCCTAAGAAATGTGCGGTTTCTCACGGGGTCTGACGACATGGCGCAAATAGGAATTGACGCAGCCATGAGCACCATCGGCCCAGGCAACCGGAGCGGTGGCCACGAGGGTGGAACTTTGTCGTCACACCCTCAGCGCGTGAAGCGGTCCCTGCTTCTGCTGAAGCGGCGCGTTGTGCTGGTATTGGAGCATCTGAGTGCCATTGAGTCCGGGTGTGTTGCGTGTCCGGCCCCCGATGTCCTGCGCCACATAGCGAAGGCGTGTGCGATGCTACCTGTCAGCACCCACGACGCCTCCCTGTGCCCAGTCGCCGCTGCCATCATCCTCACCACCGCGGCCGACGAAGAGGTGTGCGGGGCGTTAGCCATCACTCTTCTCTCGCTTGAGACAAAATGCGCACTGGCCTTGTGCGAGCTCGTCAGAGCTCAGAGGAAGGTCCGGCGGTGGGAAGGCTCCCCGGCTGTGCGGAGCCGACAGAACCTGGCGTGAGTGGCCGACGGCAATGCTGACGCGACCCGTTATTTCCGTCGACAAGGGCAGTGCGGCGTTGGGCGTGCCCGTGAAACGTGCTACGGCGGAGAGGAGTGAGGCCCTGGTGGGCCCGTCGAAACAGCTGCATCACCCTCACTGTCGGTACATCGCTTTCTCTCTTTCTTTTTCCTTTTCTCTCCTCTCTTGCCTCTTCCAGCAAACACTCCCTGATAGGCTAGCAAGCCAGATTCGCCAGCGTGAGTCCCGTGATGGCAACAGACGACAGCGCTCCCCCTCGTTTTATGCCGGTGGAGGAAACGGTGCCTGTGCGTTCCGTGCACTTCGATGCGAGGGCGCTATTCAGCGCTCTGCCGTGCCTGCGCCATGCACCTATTTTTGGCACCAGTGTGGAGGCCTTCGGACCAAAGTGCGTGCTGTCAATAGGATTGTCAGAGTTTCTCTGCAAGGGAGTTGCCGACCACCTTATCCGTTGCTCATTGTTTCCCATGTTCAGGCGACGCTACGGTGTTGACGCCATGACGTACCAGCGCATGGCCAATTTGGCATCGATGGGCTGGTCGATGAAGCCGATCACCGCCATGTTCAGCGACATCTTCAGCTTCTTTGGGTACACGAAGCGCTGGTACCTGGCCGTCTCGTGCGTGGTTGGTGCCGCCTTTGCGCTTGCCTTCGCGCTATTGCCACCCGCGAAAGCCAGCGCGGCGCCGGCAGCGGCGTTTGTCTTCCTGACCAGCTTCACCAAGGCAAACGTGGACATCCTGACGCAGGGCCACTACAGCCGCTTGATACGCCGCATTCCTCTCGCCGGCTCGTCGCTGGTGAGCTGGGTGTGGTGGTGGGTGCTCCTGGGCTCCCTTGTCGCCTCCGTCATTGCCGGGCCCCTCGCCGACGCCAGTCTGGAGTGGATCGGCGTGCTCGTCGCCGCCACGCTGCAGTTTTTGACGACGTTCTTCTTCGTGATGAACTGGTACGGGGAGAACAAGAACCGTGCAAATCGTGCCGAGGATGCCAAATTCATGTGCACGAGCCTGCTGGAGGAAATGAATGATCCCAGCGCAAGGCTGCGAGAGATGGGCAACCACTCCATGCTGGGTCTCTCAAACGAGGTGTACGCAGCTGTGCCTGAGGAGGAGGAGGAGGAGGAGGAGGTACCGCCTCTGCCGACCTGCTGCTGCGGTGTCTTTGAGGTGAACAAGGAGTTGGCGCGACGCAACTGGAGGATAGTTCTCTACTGCCTTCTTGTGACAGCGGGCTCGGTTGTCATGGCCTTCGTTACCCTTCTTGGCGACATCTGGAGCCTGCTGTACGCCTGCATTGCCGTTTCCGTCTTTCTTTGCGTCTTCGGCTTCTTTGCACTCCCGTTGTTGATCGCCAAGACGAATTTGTTTTTTTTTATCAGCATGGCATCGTACTTTCAGCTCCCCGGTGCCCTGGACAGCTTCTACATGGCCAAGCCTGATTGCCTGCCCGACGGACCGCACTTCTCGTTCTTCTTCTACAACACGGTCGCAAGCATCATTGGAAGCATTGGTGGCATTGTCGGTATTCTGCTGTTCAGGTACGTGTTCTCGAAGAAGAGCTACCGCATCACATTTGTCGTCACCACGCTTGTGATGGTTGTGGCCAGCATCGTTGACCTCATCATTGTGGAGCGGTGGAACCGTCCGCGTGTCAGCGATCACGTGGTGTATGTGCTTGGTGACCAGATTGTCTACCAGGTGTGTTGCATGCTGAACTTCATGCCAGGCATGATCCTACTTTCCCGGCTGTGTCCGCGTGGGACGGAGAGCATGGTGTACGCGTTGCTAGCAGGGTTTTCGAACTTTGGGCAGGCCGTTTCGAACACCGTCGGCTCGCTGTTGATGGAATTTAAGTGGCCCGTCGAGACGGATCCCGCTGTCGGCTGCGACTTCAGCAACGTCAGGTGGCTCTTGATTGTGGGGCACCTCCTCTGTCCGCTCGTGTGCATCCCGCTGGTGTTTCTGCTGATCCCGGCCGCACGTATCTGCGACAACATTGACGTGGATGGTCGTGTCGTCCGGCCACAGGAGCCATCCGGCGACTGTAAGGTTGAGGGAGGCAGGGAGTCATTGAGTGCTCAAGAGCCCATGCTGAAGTGAGGGCGCACACGCCCCCGCCCTCCGTCCGCGACCCGGATGCCGTTGACGATGCGAGCTGCTTTTCGCCTGGTCGCACTTGGGGCCGCATGTCCCTCATCATGCTCTAATCACATCCTCTCTTTTGTTGTTGTTGTTGTTGTTCCTCTCCCAATTGTGCTTTATTATAGGAGCCCGTGAAGATAATGTTAGTGTTGGGGCTGAATAATTAAACCAACACATCCTGATGAGGCAATTTTATTTCTGTACGATTGTTTTCTATAATTAAGACACTTTGGTCGACCAAGATTTAAGGAATCAAAAAACCGATAAAGGTAAGACGAAATTTTTTCCTTTTTTTTTTTTTTCTTTTTGTTGTTGTTATCCTGTCCACCTTTTTTTATTCCCTCCCTCTTTGCAGTTTTTGTTTGTTTGTTTTGGCTGGTAGATTACAAAGTCTACCGCTTTTTTAGTAATAAATGTTTGCAATCCGAATAGAGAGCAACATGTCACGATATTAGTCATTAGAATATATATACTTAACTGGGGTAAACACTGAGGAGGTGGCGGACCTACTCTCTTTTCTATTTACCCCTTAATTCCCTTCTTATTTGATTTCTTTGGATGTGTTCAGGATCCGGCCACTGGTCCAGGTGAGAATATTCCATGTGTACGTGCGTGTCAGTATTCTTTTCTAAATTGCGTATAGAATTGACTGCTAGAACGTGTGATTGAAAAAAAAAAAGTAAAAACGAGAATGTGCGGGGGCATGCCTTTTTATATATATGTATAGAAGGTGCAATCGGCCCTTTTGATATCGATTTGCTAATACCGTACTTTTCTTTATTATTGTTATTATTGCTCGTATTGTTGTTGTTTTTTCTTGTTATTTTCAAAGTTTTGATGCGGTGTGCTCTGCCTTCCTTTTTTTTTTTTTTTTTTTTTTGTGTGTGTGTGTGTGTTTGCGTTTGTTTGTTTGTTTGTTTTTTTGGCTTGTAGGTTCTCGGCCTTTGTGGCAACGAGGAGGTGGAAAAGAAGGGGTGATGCAGGCGGTGGTGCACTACGGCGAACAGTTCGTGGAGGTCCCGGACGCGTCCGTCACACTGAAGGATATTTGTGGCTCATTTGGAATGACTGGCGATCTCGCAGGCGTCTGCATTAAACATCGGGCGACCGGGCGCGTGGTGGCAACGCTACCATTTGAGTGTCTGCCCGCTGCCAACGACGCACAGGGAGAGGAAGAGAAAATATACGACGTCTGCGCCCCATCGGAAGGTGGCGTGGGGGACTCCACCCCGACGACGGATGACATGACGGACATCTTGAGACAGTTGGTGCAGTTGGGTGCTACGTCACTCCTCTCAACGGAGTCGGAACAAAATCGCTCCCTAGACCCATACGATCCTCGTATGTCACCGGGATTACTGATGCGGACAATTTATCCGCCTTCTCTCTACTCGCCCTACCGACACCGCGGGGATCCACTCAATATGCAGGGAAGATTTGCCAATTCCCCCATTACGGGACAGATGACGGGACCACCGTATATGAGTGCCGTGGAGCCATACACTGTGGAAGCACCAACCGAGCTGACGTTGCAGTTACGGCCTGATCTTGTCCCGCAGAGCGAAGAGGAAGCACGTGATATTCTTCAAGGGCTTGTGGCTGCGGCCACGCGGGTAAAGGCCATGGTGGCCATGGCTAATGAGGAGGAAAAACGGCATGCACCATCAGACGTAAAGCCAAATGTGGCGCTCATGCAAATGAATTGAATACTTTTAACAACGTGTTGTAGTGTCTAGCTGGTTTGGTGTTGAAAGAAAACAACAACAAAAAAAAAGGTGTCGAAAGAATTTAATTGTGGTGGTTATTTTGTGATTTATGATTCACATTCCCATTTCTGTTGTTTTCTTTTTTATTGATGTTGTCTCAGGCCACTTTTGCTTTGGTCTTTTTTTTCCTTCTTTCCTTTTTTTTTTTCTTTTTTGTTTGGTTGGCCTTTTTAGCTGCCATTATTTTCCCTCCTGCATCGGTCCGTGTCTGGGCATTTTTTTTCCTCCTGTCTGTGCATTTGGGCTCACGAGAGGGCGTGGGAACACTCGGGAAATGCATCGTTCCAAGCGGTTTCGTCCCGGGCTACGCCATCGCAGATGTTGGCGGTGCTCATGGGCCTCGCTGCTCCTCACCCTTTTCTTTCTTGTGCTTAACAGCCTTGTTTGGCTGTATGGGTTTCGACGGAACCCATCTCTTACCCCGCTCCCTTTTCCCACCGACCGAGAGGAGCTTGCAGTTGTGGGGCCGGGGGTTAACGAGCCCCGGCGCGCTGGTTACAATTCATCACAGACACCAAATTTCGTCCTTTATGGCTCTGATAATGAAGCACACGAAGACATCATTTTGCCAAAAGATTTTGGTCATGAAATAGAATGCGTGACGAGCCAAAGGGAAAATTCGTCGCTGTTGTATGTTCGATTTACAGATCGGAAAAGAGTGTTGACACTTAAGGACATTATTAAGAAGGTGCATCACAATCATAATAAAAATGATTCTAATAATCATTATCATGACGTAAATTTATCCATTTGCCCTCCTTTACCAGAAGATGTGAAAATCCCTATCAATGACTCTTTTGAGATTGGAATGATTCGTGAATTTGTGGGTGGTATGTATCATCCCATCTACTGCAAGCAATGGAAACGGCATACTACAAATCGTACGGAAAATGGAAATATTGAAAAGGATGAAGTTGGCGGGGAATATGCGGCGTCCATCTGTAGTGCAGAAACGCAGCACAAGTTGGCTGAAGCAATCAATCATCCGCCCAAGTACGCTTATGTCATGATGGTCTCAAATCACCGTTACCTGGACGGTGCAATCGTATTAGCCGATTCAATCCGTGAACATTCCTTACTTAGTCGTAACCATGAAGCAGATATTGTTCTAATAATCAATGAGAATATCAAGAAGGAAATGTTTCCATTACTTCAAGTTGTTTTTGATCGCGTGCAGATTTTTCGTGGAATGCAAAAATGGGCACCGAAAAGCATTTTTAAGGCGACATTTGACAAAATGTATCTTTACATGCTAGAGGACTATACGGGCGGGATACTTTTCCTCGATGCAGACACTCTTATTACGGATAACCCAGACTTTCTTCTACAAATGCAAGAAAAGATAGCCGCAATTGTGAAATCTGAAGATCCTGGCTATTGGACCGCAGCACGCCGTGCGGCTCTCTCTTACCCATTAAAAGAATCCGAGTGGAAGAGGTTAATGAGTACCCAGAAAATGCCTTTTCTATTTGCTGTTGGGGACGAGGAATACTTTCAAACCGGTTTGATGATTCTTAGACCTTCATTGAACATGTTTCTTAAACTGTACTTGGAGTTTCGCCTCGGAAGTACGG